AACACATCCACCACTCTTGGTGTATTATATAACTTTAATAAACACCCACCACTCTTGGTGTATTATATAACTTTAATAAACACCCACCACTCTTGGTGTATTTATTATATAACTTTAATAAACACTCACTACTCTTGGTGTATTATATAACTTCAGTAAACATTGGTCAGAATAGACACGTTAATATGTTCTGCTCCACGTTCTATAACAGTGACATGTTGAACAATGTATTACAGAGATCGAAACATTTAAAACATATAGAGACGTCTATTAAACCTAGAGTCACTCTTATCGTATGTGTAGTAAAATATTTTGCTGACACTATCCCGTGTATGTTGTAATGAAGAATCAGTTAGTTAAGAAAGCCCATGCACAGCATAAATTTGAAACTACATTATTATTATAGCTATATTACTTACTCATTGACTGGTAAACAGATATATAATATAGCTTACCTATTATCGTTGAAACCAATCCAATTTGATTGAGATGATTTCCATTCCTTAGTCTTCTTTCCAAAACTAGCAGAAGATTTTGTTTCTAGCAAGATGTTAGGCTTACTGAGTTAGCGCGTATAACTATCCAGCTTCTCTGTTAACATTCTATTTTCAAATATGATTAGAAATCACGCAGATATCTTGGAAAAAATCGTGGCCCTAATCAGTCTGCCGTGCACAATACAACAGCATTTACGTTTCACCACGCTATTCTCGACTCACCGTGCGCCCTATAAGAAGGAAACTTCCGAAGTGGTGGCTCGCTTTCAGGTCTCTCACCTTTCGGCTGGGGACTTGAGGAATTACAGGTTACATCGACAATACACCCGCAAGGCGTTATCATAATCGTCGCCAACCTGAGTTGTGGATTGACTGGCAGCTAGAGAAAGTCTTTTAGAGAACTGAATATTTCATAGTAGGGATAAATGTTTGAAGATCCACACGAATGTTTTTGAAACAAAAATAATGACGTCACTTCCTGTAAAAAAACCAACAAGGACAATAAAAACAAATAAACATGAAATCTGTAGCAGGCTACATTGCTACCTGAATCTTTGTTCACGATGAATAATAATAATATTAAACTATAAATCCCAGCTTCTTTTAATGAAACATTTCGGTCAAATTCTACTCGGAATTTTAAGGACAGTTGATGACACAGATTTGTTTTAAATAGTATTTTTCTTATATGCCAAACAAAAAAAAATTAAATACTTTCTAGCGTCTGTAGAAAGGTATGGCTTCAACTTTTTTTTTATATCCTGCGTTATTTCTACTTTGGTATACTCCAGCTACCATTCTTGGTTAGGCTAAAACTAGTTTTTCTGTCCTACACTTTACAACAGGTGTTTTTTTTGTTTTTTTTTAAACAACGTTTTCCATGTTTAGGATTTCGGGTAACAAGAACACGACGTGACAAAGGAGCGGGGGAAAGTACAATAAAATGAAAATTCTCTACTCCTTACTGGATGAAAATAAATAATTATTTTCTCTAAATTACAGAATACAAAATGTTGTTCCTTTTGAGAAATTTTATTTAACACAAACATTTTTTTTTATATTTTCATCTTACACGGGCTGTTTCCAAGAGCTGTGACTTACAGTGTGACTTACAGTGGTTACCTATTTGTTGAAAACAAGAAGCTGTCATTACTACCTTGTGGTTGAATACAACTGTCATTACTACCTAGTGGCTGAAAACAACTGTCATTACTTCCTAGTGGTTGAATACAACTGTCATTACTACCTAGTGGTTGAATACAACTGCCATTACTACCTAGTGGTTGAATACAACTGCCATTACTACCTAGTGGTTGAAAACAACTGTCATTACTACCTAGTGGTTGAATACAGCTGTCATTACTTCCTAGTGGTTGAATACAGCTGTCATTACTTCCTAGTGGTTGAATACAACTGTCATTACTTCCTAGTGGTTGAATACAACTGTCATTACTTCCTAGTGGTTGAATACAACTGTCATTACTACCTTGTGGTTGAATACAACTATCATTACTTCCTAGTGGTTGAATACAACTGTCATTACTACCTAGTGGTTGAATACAACTGTCATTACTACCTTGTGGTTGAAAACAACTGCCATTACTACCTTGTGGTTGAATACAACTGTCATTACTACCTAGTGGTTTAATACAACTATCATTACTACCTTGTGGTTAAAAACAACTGCCATTACTACCTTGTGGTTGAATACAACTGTCATTACTACCTAGTGGTTGAATACAGCTGTCATTACTTCCTAGTGGTTGAATACAACTGTCATTATTACCTAGTGGTTGAATACAGCTGTCATTACTTCCTAGTGGT